CTAAATTCATCTGTGGAGTCTTCATCTTTTCCAGAGCAAACATTATGGAGGCATGACAGTGACTGGTGTTACCAGCACTTTGGTTTCACAGTTTTGGGGATGGTGCCTGCAGATTTTTCATGTTTTTGTAATTTTGAGATGGAGAATGGAACATCCACATCCTGTTTTCTCTAGAATGATGCCCTGTGACCTCTCTATTTAAGACCTTGGATAGCTCAATGGGAGAGCTCTGGTTTCTTTGTGACAGGGAAGGAAATACTTTAAACCATCAACAAAACTAAGAAATTTTTAGGGATTTCTTTTCAAAAACAGGTGGAGGCCAAGTTAATATTCATAGTTCCTGAGTACATGTGCAGTGAGTGCTAGCTGCTGTTATACATGACAATTTAACACATGAGGGAGTCTTCAAAATGTTTGTGGAAAAATTCATATTACCCTTTAGTTCCACTTTTCCACAAACTTTTTGAGGTGCTTCAATTACCAGTGGTTTTGCCAAAATATAGCGGGGTACTATTGCTGGGGGAGGATCTAGGAATACCCAAATTACACCCAAGATAGTCATTCTTTCCTCCAGGTTCCCAAAGGAAAATAGATGCACTGGACAGTAACTGAATTAGACCAAAGCTAGATAATTCCTCTCTGTGCCTCAGTTTCCTCACTTGTAAAGTATGTGTCATAATTGTTTCTACCACACAGTACTGTTGGACGTACTGCATGAATTAGTACACATAAGGCATCAGAAGCTCAGTTTCTTTGTAGTCTTTCTGTTTTTCAAGGGGATAATGATGTAATGGTCAAGAACATGGGCTCTAGGGTTAGACTTCCTGTGTTTAAATTCTCTTCCCATCACTAACTAGATGGGTGACATTAGGCAACTTATTTAATCTTTCCGCGCCTCTAAAAAATGAATAATCATAGGCAATAGGATATTGTGTGGGATAAATGAGTTAATGCAAATACTTTGAACAATACTTGGTGCAATATAAGTGCTCAAGAACTATTAGCTATTGATATTATTATTAGTACTATCTCTACTTCTTATTTATTAGTTGTGGCATTGACCCCCAAATCCTAATACAGTATACTAAAGAGCAAGTCTAAATCACATAGAGTCATCCTTTCCCCATGCCAAGAAAACCTAAAAAGCCACCATCCAAATTGGTCAGGGTCTGCCTTGCCTGTTTTTTCCTGAACACACATCTGATTTCTCAGTTCTTATCACTCTAATGTCAGCCCTCAGACACAAAGAATGTTTGCCCTATTGCCTAGAAAGAGCCTGTCCTAGGCCATTTACAGCTGTGGCAGCAGCCGAGACAGGTTTGCTGTGGACAAGAGTCCAAAGAGAGAGCGTGAATGAGAAAGAGATGAGGCCAGGCCACCCTAGGAGCAGAGACTGGGCCACTTCAGCACTACAACCAGAGAGAAGAGAAATAAGCAAAAAAGACCACTCCTAATTTTTCCCACAAGAAAGACTCTAAGAGGCCACACTTCAGTCCTTGCCAGCTTCAGCACAGCCAATAAAATATCCTTGGAGTTGAAGTGACCTTCCCCAGCCCTGTGGAAGAGCATGCCAAATCTAGAGATCAAAGGGTATGTATTCAGACATCCCTCTACGACCAACTGACCCAATTTCAATTTACTGAAAGTCATTTCAACAAAACCAATTTATCTAACAAACGAGTCTAATTCATTAATAGCTAAAACATGAAACATCAATTTGCAAATGACCTATTCGTGGAAAATGGCATACTAGTATTGTACACCAGGTCTAGGACTGTTTGCTGAGATCAGAGGCTGAGCCAAGGCAGAGTTGGGGCCAGGTGGGGATTGGGGGACTGTGGCAAACAGGAGAACGTGTGAAAACCCAGCTCCAGCTACTCGCAGCCTTCCTTGCAGGAAATGGACCCAGTGTTACCTCAGCTTCCAAGTTTTCAAATGAAGGCTGAAATCTGAATTTTTATGTGAATTGTGCTGACATCTTCATTTTGGCAAATACTTAAAATGAAAACAAAACAAACACCATGTAGGCCAAATGTAGCTGGTCTGAGGGCCTGCCTTACTCCTGTGCCTCTGGTTTGCGATCTCTGCTGCAGACCCTGGGCATCTGCCTGCTGATGCTCATGCTTGCAGCTAGTGGAATGTAGCCCTAAAGCACCATGATATATAGTAATTTTTAATTTTGCTGATGTACAAATTTGTTTCTCAGATGTTCCAAGGCTAACTTCTGAGTGTGGTCTACTTAGCTAGTGAATGTGCTGTGTTCTCTGACCAATTTCTACATTTCATTGTGGCTCTTGGGTTTCTTTAACCACATTTGAGTACACAGTACCTCTCATAAAACAAATAATCTTTTTTCTTCAAAAAAAAAAAAAGTGTGTGGGGGGGGCTTGGGAGGCAGGAGAGGGAGTCAACTTCTAATGCAGGAGCTAGAAATAAAGAGAAAGTAAAAAGGTTTCCTAAACATTTAACTAGGAAATAGCAGTTTGAGACATTGAGGTAAGATTCAGGGATGGTAACAATAGAAGTTTTGAGTGGAAAAAATAAGCATTTTTCAGACCATAGTAGCAAGAATTAGGGAAGAAGTACATATGAAGAGATTACTTAAATTTCAGTTATACTTTACTTCATTTTAAGAGGAAATTTATGTACTATAGATTATTTTTAAATTATTAATTTTAAATATTAATTAATAGTTTTGAGAGATGAGAGGTGACTATAAATGCCAAGAAAATGTGTGCTGCTTTGTAAGTTATCCTAAATTCTTTTTAATGTTTAGATCCCTCAAATAGATTGCTGAGGGCAGTGACTGCTCTTTTTTACTATTTACTTTTATTTTTCTAGTACAATGTTCTGCTTAGAGGAGGCTCTTAATAAGTTGAGGACCTTAAATTATTTAAACGTGTCTTCCAGTTTTACAAATTTATGGCTTACATGTTATTTCTTTTTATCAACTCTAGAAATTGTTTGTGCCTTCAGTAGTGGGGGAGGGGCATGCCTTAGATGTAGAAGAATAGCAAGTCTACTGTGTTTTTAAGACCCACACAATGCAGTCCAAAATTTGAAATCCCTCTTCCTTTGCATATCCTTATCTTCTTAAAATATTTAGTTTGGAATCTTGTGACAGGAGGTTTCTTTCAGGGTTTTAGTTATTTCCTGGACTAAAAATGATATAGAATAAAAACAGTCTTTGTTTCCTTTGGAATCCAAATCAAAAGGTTTAGGTTGAAAAAGCCAGGTGCGCATTAAAAATAAAGTATTGGAATCATCATATAGTATTTGGTTTTAGCTATAGGCATCAGTTTGAAGCTTTTGTCAAAGTGAGGGTATACAGAGCTGGGTTGATCTTCCAAGCTAAAGCCTAGCGGCTGATACATGGATGAGGTTTCCTTCACCTCTAAATCGCCTGCTCTGTCTTTCCTTGCCCTTTGAGCTACTGTGCTGTCTTCCAGCATCTTGAGATACATCAAGCACACAGAATTGTAGGACAAGAACTTAAGTTCGATTGTCTGGATCTCTTTGTTTGGCAGAAAGGTTTCCCTCTAGCAACACGACAATTAAAACAGGGGAACCGGTAGCCCAGACAGCACAGAACTTGTCACACGGAAGAGGACTTATCGATGGATAGTAAAATTTCATTTCTAATTGTCGTAGATCCCTCTTTCTTACAAGTCCTTTCTTTCATAAAGCCTGTTTTGGGAAGCACTGTGCTTCATAAGTGAGAACTTCTTCTGGGAAGTTTGAAAAGAAAGTGATTTGGAGAAGTTGGTTATTTCCTAGCTTTTTAGAAACCAGTGTAGCAACTGCAGGAGATGACTGGTGAAGTCTTGTGTAAGTAGTTACTGGAATGAACATTTACCTCAATATTGATCAACAAAAGAGGCAATGTGTACAGAAATTGTTTAATTTTTTAAATTGAATTTCCATCCAAAATGGAGAAAATTTTCCAAGTAATACCAATTCTTCTGTATACTACCCAGTGTTTTCTTTTCTGGTTATTTTTGAGATACATATTTCTATGTTGTCTCTGAGTAACATTAAAAATTGAAGTACATTTTTCTGTTGTGTTTTTTTCTTTAGGAATTAATGTTTACCATCCTATCAGAGGTTTACTTCATGCTAGGGACTCATTCATTGAACAAATATTTTTATAGCACCAATTATATGCCAAACATCTTGAAATATATGTATTATATATGTGTGTGTATGTATAAACCCAAATATAGAGAGAAAATAAACCCAAATATATAGAGAGAAATATTAATTTTGAAATGTTTACATATTATGCAAAAATGTACTCTTCTGGGATTATTTTGGCAAGTTACTATGATTTCTTGCCAAAGAATTTTGTCCTTTGTGAAATAGCTGAAATATTATTTGCTTGGGTCCATGTTATATTCTGTATTTTGAACTCAACTCTGCTGTCTATAACTAGAGCACAGATTCCTTTCACACAAAACCTGACTTTTTTGTTTTCCTGAATTTTATTTTCTGCCTAGTACAGATTTTTCTTAGTGAAAAAAATCTTATAAAAGTATATTTGATATTAAGATCTGTGAAAAATAGTGGTAATGCCCAAGCTCAGAACAAAATAGTTGATGTTTTGAGTCCTTATCATTACTTGATTTCACAATTTCCTCCTATCTTAAAAGACTTTATAATCTTATTTTCTCTCAATCTCCAAGTAAGACTTTATAAATTTGTAAAATTATAGTAGACTCAAAGTATTCTAATTTCAGTCATTTAAAGGAATTTTGTAATATCTCTTCAGATAATTGAATTTTCCCTAGAGTGCAATATTAAATATAAAACTTTTAGGCCTGCCAAATTAGAAAAGTTGAGTTTTAGTTACTTTAAATACTAACTTTTTCTTTTAAATATATTCAAAATCACTGTTACTAATTTTTTAAGATTTAAATAATTACATTCTCTAATATGAGGAACTAAATGGTGCCTTTTAAATATCTGATAAAAATTGTTTTTCAATATTCTTTTGCTATTAGGTGATTTAGGCTCTTGGGATCTGCTCATTTGCCTGTCTTCTAGGAAAGCTGATGAAAAACCCTGCATATCCAAGGAGGATCTGTGCCAGTTAGGTTTACATCAAAAGGTAAATACTCTCAAAATGTGTACAGATTTTATCAACCCTGTGGATACTAACACTGGTATTTCTTGGTTCATAATGTTTTAAAAAATGTCTTGAAAAATCAGAACCATAATACCTTTAGAGAAAGTTCCAACTGGTCATGCCTTATACAGTTTACCATATTAACAGTCACCATTTTTGAGTGATAGGATCTTCCTCAGTTTCAGCTGCTGCCAATACTGTTGTTTTACTCAATAAAACTCAGATTTTATTTAGAAGTCTGTTGCCGGTGTCCTGTTGCATACTCTGGCTATTTGTTCATTCAAAGCAGTAAAGTCTTTATTTTCTAGATCACTGTTTTGACTTTTTCAAACTTCAAATCATCTTAAATCACTGTAAAATTTACATTATTTCTTATTAACTTTTAAAATCGACATTCAGTATTTACTGTCTATATTGTGTGAAGTTTTGTAAATGCTTCTTGAAAAGTTAACTGAAAATTATCCAAGGCCAACAGTGTGCTTGTCACTGTGCTGGACATTTTACATGTTGTTAGTACCTTTAGAAATCAATAGCTATTGTGACAAAAACACTAGCTATTTTTTAGTACCTAACTGGAGCTGCAGTAGCCTACCTTGAACACTTGATATTTCTATCATTGACAGTCAGATAACTTCCTTTTTCTAACCTTCTACTCCCTTGGCCTTTGGGCTGAGCACATTCTTTTGGGTTTCTCTGTACATTTTTGGCCATTTCTTTTCTGTTTTCTTTATAGCCACCTTTTCTCTGCCTATTCTTTAAACATCTGTGTTCCTTAACACTACTCCCAAATTTTCAACACCCATTTGTAGTTGATGATGTCCAAGTCTAGAAAGAAAGTTCAGAGCACTTTCCCAGGCTTCAAGCTTGTATACTCAACAGCCTGTTGATTATCTCCACTTGGATATCTCACAGACACCTCAAACGCAGCATGACAAAAACTGACTCACTGTTTTCACCAGTAAATTCACTTCTGCTTTTGTATTCAGAAGCTCTACAGAGCTTCTGTTCGGATCGTAATTATGATCAACCATTCTGTCATCTTCACCCTTCAGCCTTTCCTTTCCCTTGACATCTACATTCTATCAATTGCCAATACTAAGGAATTTAACTGCTAAATATTTCTCAAATCTGTTCTCTACTTTCTATACTCACTACCTTTATTCTGGTCAGATAATCACCATCTTTAACCTGGATTATTGCTAATTCCTACTCACTGATTTTTCTGAAGCAATTATTTCACCCCTGAAATTCATCCTGTTCATAATGATCAGATGAAAAATATGAAGTGGTAAACTAGCTTGTAACTTCTGTCTTTAAAATCCTGAATGGCTTCCCATCAACTCTAGGATAAAGTCTACAATATTTGTTGTGAATTATGCTTCCAGTAGGAAACAAGTGCCATACTCAAAAAAGTTTAACTGAAGAAAAACTAATAAAGGAACTATTTACAGAAGTAAAGAAACATTACAGAGGTAAATAAAATAAACAGAGGTAAAGAAACAAAAAAGACTAGTGAAGTACCCAGGGACTGGCAACATCATAAGATTTTTACTACTTCGGGTCTTAAGAGAAGAATGTAGAAGGAATGGTATAGCCAGAACCTAACGAGAGCTGGAGCCAAGAAAGAGGTGTCACTGAAAAGGAGCTGTAAACTTAGGGCAATGTAGTCTTTGCCAAATCACAGGCCTACAGAGTGGGAGCCTTGGGGATAAGTACCCAAACTCTCCTCTTTCTGTGACTCCTACATCCCTCTCCCCCTGAGGCTTTTGTGTTAAACTTTTGCACCACCACTCACTAGCTGAAGGATTTTGATCATGTCATTTGATCTCTGTAGTTTTCTTTTTTTTTTTTTTTTCCTTTTTGTCTTTTTTCGTGACCGGCAACGGATCGCAACCCTCGGTGTTGCTTCCGCACCTCGCTCAGCCAGTGAGCGGCCGGTCTGTATGTGGGATCCGAACCCTCGGTGGGAGTGCCGCCGCACTCTCAAGCAGTGCACTGTAGCAGTGCACCACCAGGCCGGCCCTGATCTCTGTAGTTTTCAACATCTTGTTTTGAAATAAGAAGGCATTAGACACTGGACAGTCTCCAAGACACTAGCTAGCTTTAAATTTGCATGAGCATCCCAGGAGACTAGTGGAATATATGATGAGAAGAGAGCAGCGCAGAGCAGATCATCCAGAGATGGCAGTGCAGACGGCAAGAAGGGGTGTGGGCATCAAGTAGGTAAAAAAAGGAAGCTATGAAGTACATGTCAGTTATGCCGAGATTCTCTTTTTTAACTTTTTATTTTGAAATAGTTTTAGACTAACAGAAAGGTTGCAAAAATAGTACAAAGATTGTCCATATACCCTTCACTGAGCTTTCTCTAAAGCTAGCAACTTATGTAATCATGGTAAGTTTATCAAAACTAAAAAATTAACACTGATACAAGTAACGAAATTTTAAAATTATTGAATTTTATCATGTTTTAAAATTTATGACCTTTTTTCCTATTGCAGGATCCAATGTAGCATCCCTCAATACATTTAGTTTTCATGTTTCTTTAGTCTCCTCTAATTTCTGACAATTCCTCAATCCCTTTTCTTTTATGACCTTGACATTTTTGAAGAGTAGTGGCCAGGTATTTTGTAGAATGTTTGGATTTGTATGATTTTTTTTTTTTTCATAAGACTATGCATTTTTAGCAAGAATACTACAGAAGTGATGTGTCCTTTTCATTAAAAAATATCAGGGGCTATATGATATTCATGTGTCTTATTATTAGTGATGTTAACCTTGATCACTTGGCTAAGGTGGTGTCTTCAGGGTTTCTCCACTATAAAGTCACTGTTTTCCCCCTTGTAATTAATAAATATTTTGTGAATTGATACTTGAGACTGTGCAAATATCCTGCTTCTCTTCAAACTCTTGCTCAGTAACTTTAGTATCTTGGGATGGATCTTGCCTACCCCAATTATTACTCTGATGTTCTGATGGTAGTTTTCTTCTTATCTCATTTCTTTTACAATTATTAATTGGAATTATTCTGTAAGGAAGAACTATCCTTTCTCCTGCATTTATCTATTTATTCAATAATTTATTTATATCAGTATGGGTTAATGAATATTTATTGTATTCTATGTCATAATTTGGTACTATCATTATTTTTTTGTTTGTTTGTTTAAATTGTTCCAACTTGGGGCATTGAGAACTCTTTCAGATTGTCTCCTGTGCCCTTTTGACATGTGTCTTTTCTTTCCTGAGCACTTTCTTACTTTTTAGCACCACCAGATGCTCCAAATTCATCTTGTATTTTCCCTGTCCCATGCTGGAACCAACCATTTCTCCAAGAATTCTCATTTCTTTTATTGGAGAATGATATTTAAAAACCAAGATCTGGGCAGTAGGTGTGCTCATTGTTACTAGGGTGTCATTGCATCTAGGCTCTCAGTAGACAGAGATAGGTAATGTATGTATGTGTGCTAACCATGCATACATATGTCTGTATTTACTTCTGTATCTATCTATGTGTCATAGATTAAAAAGTTGATTCATACACTACTTCTGACTGCAATCCCACACCACAAGGTTTATGATAGCCTTCCCCCTGTCCTTATTTGTAACTTTTTTTTTAAACAGTGGTAAAACTGGATCTCATTATTTACATTATATTTTCTTCTTTGTTCAACCCTACCACATGCATTAATTTCAGATTATTAACCCATACTACTGTGAGAAAAGAACTGACTAATACAAGTACAGTATTAATGTATGCCCTTTTGGTCTTTTGCCTTATAATATCCAGTCAAAATATTGTTTTCCAAGGTAAGTTAGGGTAGTTCTTTTCTCCCCACTACCTTCAGTGTGGCTATGTTATTCATTCATGATACAGTTAGGGTCATTTGCTACAACTTATATTTTATTTGAGTCCCCACCCCTCCACTGCCACCACAAATCTGAGTTGTTTTTTTTATAGTTTGCATACAGTAAAATTCATTCTCTGTGGCTTACAGTTCTATGGGTTTTGACAAATAATGCAGGAAGTCATGTGTCCATCCCCACAGTCATGACAAAGAACAGCTTCGTCATTCCCAGATTCGCTTGTGCTGCCCCTTTGCAATCATCCTATCTGTGATCCCTGCCCTTAGCAACTACTGATTTATTTTCCATCCCTGTAAGTTTGTCTTTTCCAGAATGACATATAAGTAAAATCATGTAATTTGTCACATTTCAAGCCTGGCATCTTTCACTTTAGCAAATGCATTTAAGATTCATCCATGTCGTTGTGTGAATTAGTTTATTCCTTTTTATTCTGAATAATACCCCATTTTATGGATGTGCCATGGTTTGTTTATTCATTCACAAGTTAAAGGACATCTGGATGGGTTTCAGTTTATGGTGATAATGAATAACATTGCCATAAACATTCACATACAGGTTCTTGTGTGAACACTGAACATAATTTTTTTTTCTCTTAAGGGGGATTGTTGGATCATATGATAAATATATGTTTAAGAAACTGTAAAAACTTTTTTAAACTTTAAATTTTAAAAAACTTTATTTTAATCTTTAAGAAATGGCCAAACTTTTCTATAAATGTGGCATGTCTGAGTTCCTCTTATTTAAAAAATAGAAAAAATTTCACATGAGAAACTTGTTGCCTTCAGGGTTACTTTTGTACTAAATTTGTCTGGCGGGTGGCTGATCTGTTCTTCTGCCTGCCCGGGTGCCTCAGTTTCTTCTCTTGACTTGAAGCTAGCTTGAATTCTTCCATTTCCCAAGATCAAGGCTACAAAAGACCTGAGAGGCTTTTCTTGTAGAATGTCTCAGTAATTTTATTCTTGGCTTTATCATCTCATTCTTTCATTAACTTATCCATACATTTATTTATTCATCTATCTCTTCATTCTTCCTACAGTTCTTTATCAGCATCTGTATTAACTCTGATTTAGGCACTGAGAATACAGCAGTTAACAATACGGACAAAAATTCCTGCTCTTGGG